TCATGCCTCGCCCTAGAACAAGCAAAATGAGAACTAGCTCTTCCCTGTGTGTGTTTTCTATCTCACCCAGGCTAGACACCCAGGAGCCAGGCCTGTCCCTTTCCCTCCTTCACCCTCACATCCTTTCCTCTCCCTCCCAGACCAGTCACTTCCTCTCCCATGTCACTCACTGCCAAGTTCAGGCTTCCATCCTCTCTCTGCTTTATGCCCACCAGCTCCCGGTAGGTCAGCCTCTTGTGCTTAACCTTGCTTTGATCCAGTTTCTACTAACTCTCTGCACAATGATAGCATTGCCCTGCTCTACAGCATTTTTGTGGCTCCAAATTATCTTTAAGATTAAGCCCAAATTACTAATCAAGTCAGGGTCTTTGATCACCTGGCCTCTATCTCTCCCTTTAGGTCCTTCCCCAGCCACTCATGCGGAGCCCCCCAATCCCCTTGCTTGAGTCCGGTGAGAATCCTTGGTGTATTTCTATTTTTAGGCCTCTAGGCTTTTCCATGTTTGTGCAGAGGTCTTTTTGCCCTCACCATCCTGGCAGCTCCTCTTCTCTAAGAACCAGGGCAAATGTCACTTCCTTTGTATACATATTCCCAGGCCAAGTCAGGCCCTCTGTCTCCTGTGGCCCTCAGCCATCCTGCTCACAGCTTCTTGATGGCTTCATGATAGCAGTCTGATGTTTAGTTGATAGGAGCGGAGACACAGACTGGGTCTGAGTAATGGCTCTACCACTTAACTCACCATGTGGCCTCTTCTGACAGAAGTCTCCTCATCTATAAATGGGGACAATAGTAGTTTTCCTTTCAGATTGCAGGGGTGGGGAGAGGGTGGATTAAAAGAGATAATACATAGAGAGGGCTTACAACACTGCCCTGCTCGTTGCATGTTAGCTGCTGTTGGAATTACCACTGGAGTGGATTCCTGGTACTTTCTTGCCTGTTTGGGGTCTTAGCTGAGCTCTGTGCTTTCTGGAATTTTCTCCTGGTTGGTTTTGTCCTCAGCTCCTAGGACAGGCTGGTGAGCAGGTACACAGAAAGCTCTGGAAAATCAGGGCCTCAGGCCTGGCCCCAGCACACACTGGTTGTGGGACCTGATGGGACAGTTAACTTCTGGCCTCTGCTCGTAGGGGCCCTTTTGGAGGGCAGTTCCGCATGTGGAGCCCCAAGGTGAAGAATCTTTCGTCCTCAGAGTCTGCCCACAACTGGGGGATAGAGAACCTTGGACCAGAGCCTGAGGCTTGGGTGTGGTAGAAGAAAGGGGTCCTAGGAATTGGGGATAGGAGGCTTTTGCTTCTATGGAGTCTTGGCCACAGTGTATACCAGGTCTTGAAAACCCACTAGTGGTGATTTATCTACTGACAACTGCATTTTCCAGAACTATCCAAAGGTACCAGGATGGCAACGGACACATTCAATATGTGAATTCTCCTAAATGTTCCACTTCGGCAAATGAAAAGACTCTCCTTAAAGGAAGGAGAACAGAATGGGAAAGACAAAGCATTTTCAGTCTATCCATCAGGTCCTGTGGGAGAGCCCTGAAGGTGGAGGGCAGCCTAATGCTGACCCTGTGTGTGTGAGAATGCATTTGTAATTTTTACCTGACAGTGCTAAACGTGCCATTTGGACAGGGCAGGGCCAGAAGCAGCACTTAAGCATGTGGGGTCTGGAGTGTGATGGTCTGAGTTCAGAGTCAAACTCTGCCCCTTATGAGCTGGGGGATGTCAGATAGTTCACTTTCCCTCTCCAAGCTTCAGTTTCTTTAACTGTAAGCTCGAGGCAGTGGGATTGCCCTCCTTGTAGGGTCATTCTGAGACACAGATAAGGTAATATCCATGAGCCATCTGCGTGAGGACTGGCATGAAGCCCAAACTCTATAGGTTGGCAGTGATGATTTGGGGTTTCATCTTGCCCCTCACCCTGAGCCACCGAGGCTGCATTACAGTGCTGGTTAATATTATTCCCATTTGATTCCTAGCTCAGTCCCATAGACACCAAACCTCCTCAGCGCACCAGATCCTGGGCTGGGTGCCATGTTGGGAGCTCGTGAAAGACGTGAGCCCTGCCCTTGGGTCCAGTGGACGAAGCAGATATCAATCCAGTAGTGAAACAATCGAGGCTGGCGTCCCAGTGGGGGAAAGACGGGGTCCTACAGACTCGTGGGACACCTGGGACATAAGCTCCCCTCGGAGTCGGAGCACCCTATTTCAACAGAGACGTTCAGACAAGATTTCAGGGGTGTATGGGCATCGGCAGGATGGAGAGGAGATGGGGAGGGGGGGCAGCCTGTGCAAAGGCTGGAAGGGTCGGAAGTGACGGCAGAGGGACTGAAAGAGCTCCATGTGGCTGGGACAGAAGTTGGGAGTGAGGGGGAAGGCATGTCAGGGATGTGACTCTGGGGAGGCGAGTGTCGTGCGCACGAGCCTGCAGCTATGAAGAGGCAGAGGTGGGAAGGGGGCCCAGGGGATGGTGTGTCATCAGGTGTTTTTGCTGTCATTACCGTCATCCTGGCTCTCCTACGTAGGCTGGTAGTGCGGAGAGACGTGCATGGAGCCTTTTAAGAGGTTAAGAATGAGTCATTCCTTAGTTAATGAAAGGCCAGGGAATGTTAATCAGCATCCCCCTCTCCCCAGGGCACATCTAAAATGCCTGAGTTTGACAGAGCTAACAAGATGGGCTCTGAGTCATCGGAGAGTGGGCAGCTGTCAAATGAACATATTGGTTTATTGGATTGGAAACAGTTACCTGGAGCCAAATTCTTGTTCCTTGGCTTTCTGAAACAACAACACACTCCACTGGGGTCCTGGACAGACCAGGGGGTGGTGAGAATATGGGCTTCGGAGTTAGCAGAACTGGAGGGATGTCTAGGCTCTGCCATTGACCTCTCTGAGCCTTGGTTTGCCCTCCTCTGTAAAATGGGGATAATAAATAGCATTTCTGTGAATCCAAATGGGGATCGTATGTGCAAGCACTTGATATGTGCTTGGCTTGTGCAAGGTACTCAGCATTTCCTTTATAGCATGCTTGGAACGATGCTAGGTTCTTTTAAATTGATTTTTTAGAGTGGTCCGACAGAGGATTAGCTCTCTCCCACCACGTTATACTGGACACTTTAATGAACAGAGAATGCTGTGGGACGCATATATCCAAGTGGGTAGGGTAAATTATGAAAGTGGGGGCTTCTGGAAAACAGTCTGAAAACTCTTCCCAGTGCGACAGCATGGAGCAGAGGTTGTGCCCCAGAGATGGCCGAGGACACAGAGATCACACAGGGAAAGAGACCAACCCCAGCATAATAGGTGGGTACAAGAACCATTTTGCACAGTCCGCTGTAGGAGAGAAAGCCTCCTTCCTGGTTCTGGGATTGCCCACATGGGTCAGTTACAAGTTAGGAACAGAACTTCTGTGAGCTGCCCAACACTGCATGTCATGAAGGCTCGACATGGGCCGTGTGAATTTGGAGCAGTTTGGGCTGGAGTGTTGCAAAGTCCCAGGGCACAGAAAGGCCAGGGCCAGTGCAGCTCAGCGTGGGCTTCTGGGTGGATCAGAAGCAGGGCAATGTAAACACGGGAAGATTCAAACAAGATCAGAGAAGCAACATTTCCTCTAGCCCCAAGTGGCTGGGGCCTCACCAGGACCTTAGTGAGGAGGGGTTGGAAGTTAATATCGTAACCACACTGTAAATTATTTATAGCTTGTTGCATAAATAATTGTACTTAAATTAACTGTTTAGTAAACAGTTTACAATTCACTGCATAGTGAAGTTAAGTCACTGTATATGAATCTGTGTGTTGTTTTTACAAAGCCCTTAGTGAGAGAGAGCCTTCCAGGTTGGGCCGTAGAGAGGTATAGGGGCTAGGTGGACCCAGCTGATATCTGGTGACAAGATTCCTTCCATGCTTGGGAGGAATGCTTCTCTTGACGCAGGTGAAGCCTGGAGGGCCCACAGTGGCTCCCAAGCCCCCGCGTGATCTAACCTAGAGCTGAGCTCATGTCCTACTCAATTCCCTTGCTCCAGCCACGTTGATCTCCCACCCTTTCTCAAACAAATCAGGCATACTCCCAAGGTGGGCCTTTGCACGTTCTGGTCCCTCTGCCTGCATGACTCTGTACCCATACGCCAACATGGTTGACTCTCCCACCACCTGGAAGTTTTCGTCCAGGCCTTACTTCTTCCGCGAGCCCGGCCATTCATTCATTTCAAATGGCAGTTCCCTCCCTGCCTCCTGCAGGAGCAATCTCATCCATACTTATTCTAACTCGGAGAGAAATGATCTGCTTTTTACATATTCTGTCCTTTTTCATTCATTATTATTATTATATTTATTGCCCCCTGCTCTGGGGGAGAGGCAGAGATATGTTTGTTTTGCTCACCAGTGTGTCCTAAGCAGCTAGACCCGTTCCCGCACATAAGTGAGCACCCAGGAAATGTGCACTGAGCGTTCAGGGTGGGATTTGTGGGAGTGTGTGGGCCACATGCCCCACGTGGATGCTGGGAGCCCTGGGTGGTTCTGAAATGAGGTGCTATGTGAGGACAGTCCAGAGAGAGGGACTGGACCCCAAGGAATAAATGGGCCCACTGTGCTCAATATGCCTCAGACTGAGCCGTCTTCTGAACAGGTTTCTCCCATTGGTCTTGTGCTCAAGTGAAAAATCGGGGGTTCTCTTTGTCCCTTTCATTCATCATCTGTGTGCATCAGCGTCCAGGATCCAAGATCAAGGACCATCTCCAACGACTGTCCTCCAACATCATGGCGCTGGTGTTGCTTCCTTCTAACCTCACACTCGAAAGTCATTTTGGCTGAATATAAGGTTTTTGGCTCACATTTTATTTCTCTGAGTATATTAAATAAGTTACTCTACTTTTTTTCTAGTATGAAATGTTGCTCTCACAAAACAAACTGATGATAGCATCATTTTTTTATCCCTTACAAGTAACATGCACTTATTTCTAAATGCACAAAGGATTTCCTTTCTTTCTTTATAAAAATCTAATAATCTTGTGCGCGCTTTGGCAGCACATCTACTAAAATTGGAATGATACAGAGAAGATTAGCACGGTCCCTGCACAAAGATGACATGCAAATTCGTGAAGCCTTTCATATTTAAAAAAATAAATAAATAGAAGTCTAGTAATCTTACTAGAATATGTCTTGTACGTTTGTTTTCATGTACAGAGTATGCCTTTTCAATATGTAACAATATGAATATGTAACACTATGAAACAATATATTTTTTTCCCAAGAACATTTTCCCAGCTCATAGCTTTTCATATGCATTTTGTTGTGTGTTTTGGGTTCCTCCCTAGGGAACTCTCTTTCTCTTTTTTTTTCAAGTAGGCTCCACACCCAGCATGGAGCCCAAGGCAGGGCTTGAACTCATGACCCTGAGATCAAGACCTGAGCTGAAATCAGGAGTTGGATGCCCAGCCGACTGAGCCACCCAGCACCTCTCTTGGGAACTCTTATTGTATGTATGTTCGATCTTTTTTGCCCATCCTTAAACTTCATCACTTTCTTGCAAACCTGTTTTTATCTTTCTTCATTTTTAAAAAAATTTAAAACCTTTTTTTTTGCATTTGATTTTCTTAAGGCATTATCCCACATTTTCTTCTTGTTTAATCTGTTTCGAAGATGACATTTCCTGTTTATGTCTAATTCTTTTCTTAAGATATCTCTTTTCTGAGGTTTTGTGCTTCTCTTTCACAACTTACATCGTTTTTAAAAATTTTAAGTTCATTTTGAACTAGTATATTACATTCCCTTCTGTTTTGTGAGACCATTTTCCTGGTATTTTCTCATTGTAGGGATACTATTTTGTTATTTATTCTCTTTTTTAAATGATTATGCATGGAATGAGACTTCTGTATTTTTGTGTTGCTTATTTTTACGTGAAATTAGTTTTCATGAACTTTTAGGTGGAAGCAGGGCTCAGGAAGGCAGTTCTAAATTCATACAGCTCCATCCTCATTTTTGTGTAAGGTTCAACGTCATGTGATCTGCTTTCTGAGAGTTCCAGCTCTGCTTCCACCCCATCCATGGACCTCTCACCTTTGTCTCTGAGGTCCCAGTCCTGCTCAATTCTGATTGTGCTTCCAGAAGTTTCTTCTCCACGTGGCAGTTTGTTAGAGAAGGGACTCCTGCTGGGTTAGTTTTTAGAATTCTTTGTAGGTGCCTTGCACGCACCTGATCATGGAGAGGCACATCCCCTCCTAGTTTCAGCGACTATTGAATGGTCATACTGTGATTTCCAATAAATACCCAGTGACTATGGGGGGGGTCCTCCTCCCTCATATTCCTCAGACACCATCCCATTGCTCCCTCCTCCTTCCTCTTGGACAGATGATGTCCAGCAGGTCTTGTAGCTTTAAGTGGTCAATCCCACCTGCTTGTATTTTGAGTTTTGTGGGGATATTTTATCATCTAGTTTTGTTGTCAATTTTATCCATAAGGTTTCGGTTTTATTATCTTTGTTGTTCTGCTGGTTTTTCATCTGGGAATTTAGAGCAATTTAAAAACTGCTGTCAGGATGGCCATTTTCCCAGAGTTTTCCTTATTTCTCTACTTCGAAGTAATTAAATTTCTTATGATACAGCTGCTTTAGTTGAAACTTCTCTAATAACAACTGACATGTATAATACTTCCTGTCAGGCATTATTCTAAGCAAGTAGATACACATATTTGCATAGATGCATATGTATGTATATGTATATATTCTCTTCACTTAATCATCCCAAAAAACCTGGGGACTGGGTAGTATTTTCATTTCTTTTCTACCAACGAGGAAACTGAAGCACAGAGAGATTCAATAACTTGCCCAAAGTTATGCAGGTGGCAAGTGGCAGATGTGGGATTTAATCTAGGCAATCCAGCTCCCAAGTTCACGCTCTGATGGGAACAGTGATACCCCACAAAAGCCACATAATGCCTAGGAGACCCAGTGGTGTGCCCGGCTCTGATGGTGGCACCATGGTGCCTAGAAGACACAGCAGCAAGAGAAGAAGTGGTGACTGTGATCAGCATGAGATATTTAGTGGAGGCGGACAGCAGGAGAGCCCCTAGAAGGAAGGGTCACCATGCCAGTGGGCCTGGCAGGTCCTGACAGCCAGGGTAATCCCAGTGTAAGGGTGCTAAAGGAATTAAAGATGACAGATTTGGGGGAGGATCTACACTTGACCTTTGAATGATGCAGGGGTTAGGGGCACCCACCCCCCAACACAGTGGAAAATCCACATGTTGCCCTTGACTCCAAAACTTAACTACTAATAGCTTACTACTGATCGGAAGCCTGACTGATACCATAAAGTCAACTAACACATCATTTCTGTGTTACGTATGTCCTATACTGTATTCTTACCAAGTAAACTGGAGAAAAGAAAACGTTACTGAGAAAATCATAAAGAACAGAAAATATGTCTACAGTACTGCACTATCCACCTATAAGTGGACCCGTGCAGTCCAAACCAGCATTGTTCAAGGGTCAGCTGCATATGAGATGAACTCTGAGGACTCCTGGAAATGCTTGAGGTGTATGGCACATGGTGTTGGGATGAGAAAGAGGTTGGGTTACATTTACTTATGTTTGTCTCTCCCCTAGATGGGGTGAGTGTCCTGAGGGCAGGGACCAGCACAGAGTGTGCGTGCTCCACATCAATAGTGCTTCAGTGAATCAGGTCAAGTAGGGGTTGTCTGACAGGCATGGCTTCAATGTTTTAAGCCTTATTGAACTGAGTGAAGATATTTTGTGTTTGTTACAGGTGTCCTGTGGGGGCAGCACTTCCCATAGGAGCTAAGATCTCCTTTTAGCCACTCCCTACCCATCCCCCCACCCCCCACCCCCCCACCCCCCCCCCCCCCCCCCGCCACCTAACCCTGGGCTTGACTGTCCATATCCATACTTTACCATTTTCCTGGGAGTTCTGAGAATTGGGACATTGGTTGCGAAGGGCTCAAGCTTTATGGCTTAGTGAATCGAGGAATGTTCGTAGAATGACTTGTACAAAAGGTTTCTCTGATTCTACGGATACCTGGTCACGTGTTTCTATTTAACACAGAAGTTTTTATTATGATGTCTTTTGTGGAATGGAGTTACTTACCCAGCTCTTAAACTTGAACCACGCTGGAGGGAACTCACCTACACTTTGTCTGACACCCCGGCCAGAGATCGAAACCACATCTCCTGAAGTGTAATTCAGAACAGAGGATTGCGTGAGTTCAAGGGTTTCCCATGTGTCAGGCCAGAGCACTCATGCTTAACTTGTAACACCCCTACAAGCCCAGAAAATATTTCCAGCTGGCATGGCAGGGCTTACTATCCATGCTTCCTAGGCAATTTCTGATTTACTTGATCGCTTAAATATTTACTGATCCCGACCATGTGTCAGGTCTTGTGCTGAGTGCTGGTGATGCTGAGGGAGGTCAATGCCTTTCTTTGAGGATATCTCGAAGTTGGTGGAAGAGAGAGACAGGTGGAGAAACTGTAGAGTATGGTCAGTAGGTAAACAGTCTTTGGAATCAGGTTGCCTGCAGGGAGTCCTGGCTCTCTTAAGTCATATAAGTCATCTGTACCTGTGTATTTTCATCTGTGAAATGGAGACAAGGAAAGTGTGTATTTAATCTGGATATTCTGAGAATAAAATAATGTGTGATAATTATATAATCCTTGGGGTACTATAAAGGTCCAATAAATATTAATTATTATTCCTGATGGGTTTTGTCTATTTTCCCTTTTCCTCTGCTTTCAGAACTGCTTTTCATCCAATTCCCCATTTTTTTTAAATGCCAAACACAGTGCTTGCTTCGGCAGCACATATACTAAATGCCAAACACAATTATATTGTAATTTCAATGGTTTAGTTGTAATTTGGGCAGCTTGGGTGCAAAGCATACTGGGTAAAATCAGGCTGGGTGGGAGACAGATATATGCCTTGAGCAGCCAACCCATTTTTCCCCTCCAGCTTTGATGGGTCAGAACCTCTTGAAGTCCTCCCAGCCCTCCTGGAGTTGGTCCTGGACCTAAGGGGGCTGCGCCTACTTGATGGGGCCTGAGGCCTAGTCACTGGATGAGGTTAAGAGGAGGCGGGGGTCTCTGCGCTTCCTAACCTACCCAGTTTATTCTTCTCAGTATGCTTGTTTGCTCCTTAGGGGGGAAAGAGGAGGTATCTCTTCAAACAATCTCTAGAAATGGAAGTTATTTTAAGCTCATTCTTAAAGAAAACCAGATTCTGCTTTCCCGAAGGCACCCCTGTCTGTCCTCGCCTCTGCTGCTGTCACCCTGGAAGGCCGCTCTGGCGGTTGGGCAGCCCGGGAATGGGTTTGGCCTGGAAGCAGCAGCTGCATCTCTGGAGCTGGGTTCCCGGTCTGCCCTGTACCCCAGAGGTTTAGGCAGAGCCAGGGGCTCCCAGCTTTCCTTCTTCCTCCTGTTGCTCATAAGCAGCCCCAGAACTCTTTGCTTGGGAAAATTGTCCTTCCTGTCTACCTGTGTCAGGCTGTCTCATCTTGCTCTCTGCTCCTTGATGTGTGTGTGTGTTTTTTTTTTTTAAAGGTTATTAGAGTGGGAAGCAGTAAAGCAAAGAGCTTAAGAGGTTAAGAGTGAAAGAGACCAAAGTTTTAATGTCAATGCTACTACCTTCTACCTGGGTGAATTACCTCTCTCATCCTGGCTTCCTCATCTGTAAAATGGGGATAATAATACTACTAATGCAGACACTTGTCTTGAGGGGGAAATTAAACAATTCGTGTAAAGCACTTAGCACAGGGCTCAACATGTGGCATGTGCTCAGAAACTTCTAGCCATTGTGATGGTAATTATTGTAGGTGCTGAAGCATTCCAGGGGGGGACACACAGCAAAGAGAACTAACATTTTTGAGCATTTCTTTGGGCCATGCAATGTCCTAAGTCCTTCACGTTCACCGTTTAATGTAATTCTTTCATCTCTCTGAAATTACTACCTTTATTTTCAGATAAAGAAATTGAGGCTCAGAGAGGTTAAGAAACTTACTAGAGAGACTAATGTATGTTGTTAAAAAGTCAGGATACTGGATATCCTCCTTGGGGAGTGACCAAAAGGGGGTGCCAGGGAGACTACCGGGATGCGGGCAATGTTTCAA